CAGACAAATTTCGACTTTTTAACTAGCCATTTTTGAAGGAAATTTTTTAAATCATTCAAAAAGTATTGTTGTTCTGAACTTAAATTTAAAAAGATATTTCACATGTGATTATTTTTTGTAAAGTTACGGGGGTTTAAAGTTTGCCTTTTTGACCAATTTGGGACAATTAACGCGCGATATATTTCGCGCTATAAACGCGTAAGCGGAGACTTAATCCGTCTTGGAAATCGTTTCAAATTGGTTGAAAGAAGCTTATTTGCCATAATTGAATTGTTACAAGGAGCGAAATCCATCCTTTTGTACTTAATATGGCGTGTGGGGGATGATTTTCATTTAAAAAAATTCAAATTTTAGAAAACAAATTGGCCCTTTTCCAGTTCCCCCCCCCCCCCCCCCGCCCCTTTCAAATTCAATTTTGAAAAGCTTACTTAACGTTGTCATAATGCAATGAAACTTGACGTGGTGACAAATCGACAACTGTGATCAGATTTGCTCTTCATACTTTACAGCGTAACATCACGCATTTAGACGTAATAACACGTAAAACAAACATAAAACTCGGTTTTTTGAAAGGGGGGGGGGAACTGGAAAAGAGCCAACAAATTTTTCAATTTGTTTCATTTCATTTAATTTTTGAAATGTTATTACTGCTCCATAAAAATTATAAGGCGGTCGGAACATTCAGGGCTTCGCCCTGATACTGATACGAGCAGTCTTGTTTCTCTTTTAGAAACCGTCCATTTGTTGATATAAACTTCTAGAAAAATTCTGATACGTGTAATGCTTCAAACTTAAAGTTTGATTTTTGCTCCGACTATTGAAAATTGGGAAGAACTTTGTATTCGGGTGTCCTTTCACAGTGTTTTTTTTGTTTTTCGCAAAATCAAGTACCTCAAACGACTGTCGGATTGAGTCGAGTGATATAAAATACTAAAACCCTTTCCGTCGGGATTCGAAAGACTTTTCAAAATTTGCAAAAGTTTTCCCAGTGTCGAGAAAAACAAATTGCTCGAACATAGTTCAAACTTTTTAGTTTTGTCCAATTTCGAGCTAGTAAGGCGAGCGAGCAGGCTTGTTTTAGGAAACGTGCAGTATCATTAAGGAAAAAAAATTGAATCCTATTTTACAGGAAAAAACCTCAAGACCATAAACCCTTATTTGAGTTTTATCATCTCTACGTTGTTACAGACTTACTTCGTTCTGAACTATTTTAAAAAACGAAAATAATAATGAGATCTGAAAACTCTGTTGAAAAAGTAGAAACCCAACTCTTCTAATGAGCTTATCCTAAACCATAAGCTTTCAATACGCCAAAAAATGTGGGTTGTACCAATCAATCCCAAAACATTGCCAAACAAAATTGTTGTTATTAGAAAAACTTTGAGCGATTAAAAAGTTTGAACTTTTAAATTTTTAAACTACCAACCCACCTGAATTATTGAAAACAGAAATAATTAATTTTGTCCATAAATTGATGCAAATAAAGTTCACTAAGCCGAAAAAACAAGAACCGAAGTCTTTCAGGCTAATATAACCCAAAAAACGGAAAATTCGCCTGCCAGATATAGTAATTTAAAAAAAAACAACCGGAGTTACCTAAAGATTTTTGAGGCTACAATAAAAACTGATATTGGCAGAAAAAAAGTCCGCCTAATCACTTTTCCCGGAACATTTTCAAACTCAGATATTGAAAAAACCAGTCTCGTCCTGGCTTCGAATCCTAAACCATAGGTTGCAAATACATCTGTATTCCTTCCAAAACAAGTGCAATGAGACCTCGAATTTGCTAAAGTTCGTTAATAAAGAGACATCAATTCAATTACAAATGTGTCAATTTGTTTACGAGAAAATGTCTTATTCCCGATCACAGTACACTTGCTCCTGTAAGTTTAACGAAAAATAATAAAATATACTTTCCTGCGCTTCCAATTTCAAAACTAAATTGTTTATCAACAGTGTAAAATAGATCTTTTTTTTGGTTTTATATTTCAGAGTTTTTACATTTCCAACCTCATACACAGAAGCTTCGCACCCTTGCTATACAACTACAAACTTTTTAAAAATTGAGCTAAGTTAAAAAAAATAAATTAACCAAAGTTTCTGCAGTCTCGGTAAAAAGGGGCCAGCTAAAATTTTTGATATTTTTTGGATTTTTATAGTGACACGGAACAAAATGCATGATTTCAGAAAAAAAATAGATTTTGCCAAAAAATTTAGTTTTTTTCTATTACAAATATAGGCAACAGAGAGCTGGAAAAGAGCCAATGAATGCAATTAAACAGTAAAAAAACACCATTTATTATTTTAAAAAAAAATCTCAACTATCAAAGTTTTAAAAAAAATTTAGATGCCCTTTGAGCTCCTTGATATTTTAGAACAGTTTGTGATTGGCACTTTTTCGACAAACTTGAAAAAATTTGTGAAAAGTCAAAAGGTAAATTTTCCATTTTGCCGGGAAATCTGAAAACAAGTTCCAGATTTGAAACTAGAAACTGATCATGTTCTTCGAGACTTATACAATTTTAAAAAACTTAGTTTTTCAAAAAGGGTCATAATTTTGAAGTAATGACTTTCTGAAACTCATTTTAATGACTGTGATGACTTTCAGAAATCAGGTCGTGGCCGCTAAAGTTGAGAAGATTCCCAAATCAAGTTTACTCGATTGATCACTTAACCTGAGAGTTTGCACATTAAAAAATATTCCAAAAAACGGTCAAAGTTTCAAAACTTGCATTTTTGAAAACCATAATTGTTTTCTTAAACAAATAGGCATAGCCAGTTATAAAAATAGGCCCTCAATAACCTGTTGTTACTCTAAAACCTATGATATCAAAATATTTATGGAGAAAAGTCCAAAAAACGGCTAGTATCACTTTTCCTAGAATCATAGTTTTTTATGTACAAAAAATTGGTGTATTGCTACTTATACAGAAGATTTTCAAGCAATTTGTTATTTCGATTGAATTCAAAAACTCAGATTTGGGAGAACAGCTCTCGAAAAAAGTCAAATTGTTTCAAAAAACTCTTCAAAATCGAAACTTTTAATTACCGAGGCAAATTTTTGACTTTATCGCGTATGCAAAGGAGCTTACCACAACCAACTCGTTGGATTGAACACAAAATAACACATAGGAGTATACTTTCGAGAAAATTCAATAAGTTAAAAAAAAATGAAACATCAAAAATAAGATTTAAAAAAATCAAACAATTTGTGAGCGGCCGCTGATGCAAGGGAGTTTCCAACTACCCGTTGTCTACATGGAATCCAGAATCTCAGACTTGGGAGCTTAGTTTTTTGAGAAAAATCAAAGATTCAAATAATGGTTGAAAAACCAAAAAATTGACTACTCCGAGGGCCATAACTCTATTGGTTAGTTTTTCAGGGTATAATTTGCAGGGTAGCTTTTCAAAATATCTTTTGATTATTGATTTCGAAATCTTAGGTTTGAAAAAACAGGTAGTTTTTGGGAAAATTACTTAAAATTATAAATGTTGATTAAGCATTCCACCCACTTATTTTTACTTTTTTGAAGGCTGTAGACAGAAAAATAAGGTAGAAAGTGACAAGAGGAGTCTGCAGGCACAAAAACAGTAGGCGATCTTTCCATTGATACCGTTTTTTGAAATTTGAAAATAATAAAATGTTTGCAAAGAAAAAACTCTCTGACGCGTAACAAAAAAAAACAAAATGAACATAAACCCATACATCTTCCTAATAGATGTTTATACCAAACAGGAATTCTAGACGATCATGCTAAGCAAGAAACTTGAATTTCAAGTTAGGAACGTAACAAACCTAACGAAGTGGAAACTAAGCCGACAATTTTTGAGTAAACACCAGTTAAGCCGAAAGAAAAATTGATTTTCTCAGTTTCAAGTTCAATGCATCTACAGTTACCAAAACTCGTACTTGCAACTGCAAGAAAAGTTGCTTAGAGCACAAGAGAAATCTGTAGTGTGGTAACAAAGCCGACTATCTTTAAGCAGACACCAGCTGCGCCGAAAAAACGGTTCAAAAAAACTTCTAACCCACCCTGAAACTACACTTAACCTTTGCACTTTGCAACTACCTTAATACTTGCTTACAGCACAAGAAAAATTTTTGATGTGTCAACTAAGCAGGCAATACTTGTGCAGAAAAACGAAACTCCAATAAACTAGTTTTTATCGGAGAGATTCTTTTCACTTGTTGAATGCACTGAAAAAACAAGGTCCGGCCGGGATTCAAACACGGGTTTTTAGAATGAAAAGGTGCCGCCGTGACCTCTAGGCCAAGTACGAACGAACCTGCCAGTTGATTAGACTCAATATTGCAGCAAGTTGAGAAGTTGTTTATGGAAAAAAATCTGTTTTCCGCAAAGAGACATTTGACATCGGACCATTTGGTCTATAACATTCTCCTGGGCTGAATACTGAGTTATGATTTGAAACAAAACCTTGTACTTGTCTGATTATGAGTCCGAAAACAATTTATTTTTAATTAAGAAACGTTTTAAAGTATGCTGATCGACAACTGCGCTTCGACTATTCTTCTTTTTAGAAAAACACAAACGTCAAAGCATTATTTACACATTGTGAAATCAAATTCACTTTACTGCTGCTAACTGAACTTTGCCCACAAATATAACTGATAAAACTATCAATCTAGTGAACCAGGAAAAAAACCGGAGAACTCAGAAAAGTTTCATCTTCAATGTATGAATGCATGCTTTGGTATTGACTCTACCAGCTATCTTTAAGTCAGATGAATCAGTACGCTACACGGTTGCTTTTAACGGATACGATATGATGAAAAACAGGTACATAGTTTAGACAATTTTCGATTTCAGTCTACAGTCTACAAATACATTTTCGCCAATGGGGCAAAGTGAGCCTTTCTACTATCTCTGCAAGCTAGAACATTACCACCCTGTCAAATTTCAGATAATTTAGAACGATAATTTAGATTATTCTGGTAATCAAACGTCAGATAAAAATTCTTTCAAACTGATAGCAAAAACTGAAAATTGGTATAGTTTATTCTTCATTACTTTGCTAGTTGATTTATAACATTGTTAAAGTTCATTTACAATTTGAAAAACAAAACATGAACCAGGCTGGAACAAAATTATTATCCGAATTAAAGTAGTCGTGAAATTATCATTGCATTATTCGAATTCATCTCAATAAAAATAAAGAAAAGTTAAGAAGCAAGATGGAAGTTGAAGTAAATGGCCCAAAATAAAATCATTATTAAACAAAATTTAAATACAGTGATTACAATACTATTTTTTTAAAAAGCACAGTTCAAATGAGATAATGCTTTTTTAGTTAATTTGTGAAGTTGCTACAACTAATACATAGAGTAATTTCGTTGAACGTAACTCAAATCTATCAAATTATCATCGGTTTAACATGGTAAAGTGCGATTAATAGAATTCAGATAGCAAAATATGTGCTCAAATTTCAAATTTCATGGCAAATAGTCATTGCACGAAATTGAATTATAAGCAACTTAACAACAACGAGATGTAAATTGACCTTTTCATAGCAAATCTGATTTTGAGATTGTAGTCACACGTTAGAAAAAAAACGGAATCTCAGCTTAAATACCGTACATTTATTATATTTCATTAAAAAGGCACTATTCTAAGGTCAAAACACAAGGAAGTGAAACAAGGCAAGACATACAAAAACAGAAAAAAAACTAACAAAAAGACGAGCTAGTTTCTGTTTTGCTTATTTTTCCCAAACCAGTCTGAGAATTAATTTGCTTTAGATTATGCAGAAGCAGTTTGGCAATTAAATACAAAAACAATTTGAGATTATCAAACAACTAATAAGTGCCCAAATTTGGAGGGATGGAGGTTTGAGAAAAAAAAGAAACCAAGATTACTTTTTTGTCAATATCGTTTTATTTATAACTAAAAATTGCTTTAGAAATAGTTTCTGAGCTATCTAGAAGTTTCTTGAACTTAATTCTCCTTGTAATGGTGACTCATCATTATGGTAGGGCGCTGCTTCTGTCGTCATCGCAACTACACTGCCATCCTCTCCCGCAACATGATTTGATTTAGACCCACCACCTTGAGTCGGATCACCACCTGTGAAACAAATTTGATCCAAGATTGTTTCTTACACAGGCAAAAACTAAGTTTTGAAAAAACGTAGTTAAAACATCTACACAGACGCGAAGCGGAGCTTCGCATCACATGCGATGCCACATAAATAGCATTGCAAGCTATCAGACAGGACAAGAAACGAGTACTAAGTCCAAAAAACGGAAAAAAAATTCAAAGAAACCACAACTAAAAAACTTCAAAATGTTGTCTGGAATGATGTTCTATTTGCAGAAACACATAAGACGGCGTTTAAAGAAAATTAAAACACAATTTTGACGCTCTTAAAACTCTTTGATTTTCTAGATTATTTTATGACTAGCATAAAACAAAACCAATTTGAGAAAAACTTGATCAATAAGTAAACTTTTTTATTTCGCTGGGAAATCTGGAAATTTCATTCTACTTTCGAAAGTATAAGTCGATCACGTTTTTCGTGACCATTAGACTTTTGCTGTTCGATTCTGTTTTAACAAAAGAAATGTTGACCTTAAAAAGAAATCAAAAGTCAAACCGCAAAAAAAAGTAAACTTGAGCTGAACAAATTTTAAAGACTTTTCGACTTAAAATGAGCATAGAGCAGCTGAGCATAGAGCAATCTTAGTTGTGCAGAAACGAGGCTGATAGGTACGGCACAAGCGCAAAAAAAACAACTAGCAAAAAATGCGTGAAGTGCGGCTTGCTTAGCAAAAAAACAGCCCAATCTTACAACACTACGCCTGCAATCTCGTTTGCGCAAGTAAGTAGAAATTTTCCACTAAGCTTTTCCTCTAGCCGGAATAAACTTATTGCCCTAACCATCAGTCCCCGATAGGAACTGGAAAAATATGTTTTTCCGCGCAAAATGAATTCATCAAAGATAGCTCGTAGGCCACCGAATTTGCTATCATATTGAAGGCCTTTCACACGTGATTCGAGAAGAAAGGCCTTTCACACGTAATACAGAGACACAAGTTCTCTGTATCGAGAAAAAAGCTACCAGCCCATTTCTATTGTTATTTCAACAAAAACTTAGCAATTAAGACCTTGGTAGTTTGAGCTAGTTATCTAGCTCTAGTCCCCATGTGCCATGAAATCTTAGCAAACATTTAAGGGTTGAAAACTTTGCGCTGCTTGCATAGATACCCTTTACTTCTGCCACCATGTCAAATCTTTTTCCGAACAAACTGATACTTTTATCGCCCAAACAAATAAAGAATGTCCCAACTAGGCCCATTATATAAGACATGCAACACAGTTCACGTCAAGTTACACAAATAAAAACTTTGCAAAATCATATTTAGACGTGCAATACCAGTTCAAAATGTTCAGACACGGAAGCGATTGCATTTCAAGTTTATAAGTAATCAGGAGTACCAGAACGCATTTTGAAACAGAGGTGAAGCGACCTTTGGACCACCAGCGGTATCACACAACAATTGAAAAACAGCTAGCCAAAAGAAAATCCACTGAGTGTAAAACTAAAACATAGCCAACTGACAGTTAGAAAAGAGTAATGAAGGCAAGGAAACTGAAAAAAAAACGGTGTGCCATGAAATCTTAGCAAACATTTAAGGGTTGAAAACTTTGCGCTGCTTGCATAGATACCCTTTACTTCTGCCACCATGTCAAATCTTTTTCCGAACAAACTGATACTTTTATCGCCCAAACAAATAAAGAATGTTCCAACTAGGCCCATTATATAAGACATGCAACACAGTTCACGTCAAGTTACACAAATAAAAACTTTGCAAAATCATATTTAGACGTGCAATACCAGTTCAAAATGTTCAGACACGGAAGCGATTGCACTTCAAGTTTATAAGTAATCAGGAGTACCAGAACGCCTTTTGAAACAGAGGCGAAGCGACCTTTGGACCACCAGCGGTATCACACAAAAATTGAAAAACAGCTAGCCAAAAGAAAATCCACTGAGTGTAAAACTAAAACATAGCCATCTGACAGTTAGAAAAGAGTAATGAAGGCAAGGAAACTGAAAAAAAAACGGATGTTTTTTTTTTCAAAAAAAAATCAACTTTGGAATTTCAAAGAAAAAAAATAGACGGCCTTAAAGCTCTTTGAATTTGTAGAACAATTTATAATGGACAATTTTTTGTTTAAACTAACCCAATTTGAGAAAACTGGATCAATAGGCAAAACTTTTACTTCACTGGTAAATCTGATAATAAATTAATTTCCATTATCGAAATTAGAAGTCGATAACTTTTTTCATGACCTATACACTTTTGCTTTTGATAGTGGAGTTTGCCTTCCTTTAAACAATCGAAATGCACTAACAATGGATGCATCGCGAAAAATCAAAATTGAGCGTGAACAAATTTTAAAACGTTTTCCTGAAAAAAAACATCAGCAAGAGCTATATGAGGGTACTCACTACGTTCATTACTCTTAAAAATGAATAAACCAAAATTTTATTCGTGTTCCTCAATGAAAGTTTTTAATTTTTGAACACAGGCGAAGCGGAGCTTTGCTCTACTCGCGATACAAGGCTCTTTGGGTGGGCGTTTCTATTCGACAGTCACGACGTTGCAACAGCACAGTCCCAAGACCCACCTATCCTACAAACAACGCCCATGTCTGCGGGTTTTTCACCAGGGAACATCTGGATCCAGCACGCCTGTTCCTACGAATTTTGGCTGGAAAGTCGCTAAGTCGACTTGCAGCCGCGTTCCACTTACAGCTACTACAACAAGGTGTTGAGAGCAACCCAAAACCAACACCACGCGCGATTTGTAATTGTAGTAATTGGAATATAACCGGTGTTTAGTGTGGCCGAGGAGGTTGGGTGCACTAGAAGGGCACATCTTTGCGATCCTCTAAGAACTGGACCAAAGTTTTAGTAACCAACAAAATTTCAATGGCAACCAAGACCAAATCCAAGTCAACAACAGCCAAAGTAACCAAGTCAGATTCAACATACTTCAATTCAACTGCAACGGCATCCGACAAACTAGACAGCATCATAAACTTGATGCAAAACCAAAAAAAATTAAAGCTGCAGCGCAGCAGGAAACCAATCTTAATGATAAAGCCACCATAAAAGCACCCACAGGCTATAGTATAATCACAGAAAACCTTCCCAAAGACAGAGGCAAAGGGGGTAGACTTACCTTTCTCATTAAAGACTGTGTGCCGTTTCAAACCCTGAAACTAAGCAAACCCAACGGCGACAGTCACATTGAGCGGCAGGCAATTAAAATTGAAATTGTCAAAACAGCATAACGATCATCAACATATACATTAGCCAACTTCCAGCTGCACCAGTTATTCAACCACCTATTCACCCAAGATGATTGTATAATTGTTAAATACTTCAATGCCCATAACCCGTTATGGTATTTCAGTTCTACCCCAGATGCCAGAGGCATCAAACTAGCCACAGAAATAAGCAATGCCGACCAAGCCGTCCTGAATGAGAAAGCACACCCCAGAGTGACGAACCCCTGTAAAAGCTCTCCAGACATAAGTATGGCCAGTTCAAGCATAGCTTTGAATATTGAGTGACTAGCACACCAAGCACTTGGATCTGACCACACACCAATTACTCTCAGCATTGAATGCGACATTGAATTTACCGAGGCTTCCCAGCGTACATTTAAAAACTTCCGGAAGGCGGACTGGGACGGGGTTGAAAACTCCATAGAAGATAGCGGATTATTCTAAGCCAAATGACGTCTACAAAGCTGAGAAAATTTTTCCGAAAGCAGTATTAAGAGCAGTCTGAAAATTCATTCCTCAAGGATGCATCAAAATGACAATACCAAATTTCCCCCACTGAGGCTTAAAAGCTGGCCCAAAGCAGAGAATCACTCCAAGAATCAAAACCCGGAGACCCACTTATACCTGAAAAAAAAACCATTAAGTTATCAGGAGCACAACTGGAAAAAATGGGTAGAATTTGTAAGTCGCCTGACTCACAAACGTATTACCAGCAAGCTTTGGAGTACATTAAAATCTCTGTCGACGAACAGCAAACCTTGCGCGCCCAATGAAGCCAATTACTTTGAGGAACGAAACGTACCAATTTTTGACGTCAAAAAATGAGCCATTAAATTCAATCAGCAGTTCAGCCCACGCCCCTCATCAATTACTAAAGAGCGTCGCCACACGCCAAGAACTTTGAAGAGTTTAAAAATTGAACATAGTGTTCAAAAGCCTCACTCTTGCCAAGGCGAAAAAAAATTCAAAAAAAGGTACGGCCCTTGGCACAATCCATAATGTGCCTGTTCACCTGCACCATATGAGTTCAATCGCCATGCAATATCTAACAGAGGTCATTAATATTTCGACACAAACAGCTACCATTCCAAATGTGTGGAAAGTAGGAAGAATTATTCCGCTGCAAAAACCAGTTAAATCGGTCGATGATTCCAAAAGTTTCTGATAGATCACGCTACCTTCCCCAATTGCTAAGGTCATCGAAAAGCTGCTGCTAAATGACTTTTTCAATTTCCCCTTAGCAGAATACCAACATGGCTTCAGAACCGAAGATTCAACTAAAACAGCTCTGAACATCATAACTAACAACATCAAGCAAGGTCTCAACAAACACAAACCATGTGATTGTACCCTTTTAGTAGCCTTGGACCTCACCAGCGCCTTTGATATTGTTGACCATAACGTACTGCTCAAGGATGTTTTGGAAGCGGATTTGCCCAACAGCAACAAACGATGGATAACGTCATACTTACAGGGTCGGATCACTTATGTCGAGTATCGGAATAAAAAGTCAAACATGGGGTACCACAGGAAGTATTATCACCAATGCTCTTTAATATTTACATGAGCAAGTTCCCCCTACCGCCAGATCGGGTTTCAATTGTTATATATCTTGATGACATAGCTCTGATGACTTCAAATTCGAGGGTAGATGAGCTTAAGAGCCATATCACACCATACCTAGGAGAGCTGCATAGAAATTTGCAACTCTCCGCGAACAAGTCATCATCAACCATATTTAGAATTTGGACTAAGGAAATATCCGTTAACCCCAAGCTTGAAATTAAAAGTCCCCATTCCGCTTAAGTCAAAACCCAAACTGTTGGGCGTGGTCTTTGACGGCCTGTTTAGTTTCAATGAACACGTCAAAACCACCACTGACAAAATACAAAAGCGTAATAATGTCAAAAAAAGTTGTCCGGCAATCATTGGGGTTGTTCCAAAGAAAAACTGACACTGACATTCAAGGCCATCAGGCGCAGTGTTCTTAACAATGGAGCACCAATCTAGTCTCCATCAATCAGTAATCCAAACTGGAACAACCTCCAAGTTCAACAAAACCTTGCCCTTAGAACAAAAACTGGTTGTTAGAATATGACAAATATTGATGAGCTTCACAGGGAAACAAAAGTATTGCCTGTAAAGACTCACACAGATATGCTGGTAAAACAATTTCTAGTGAGATGCCACCAGTCACCGCTCCGACTATCAGACAACCCAACATCCAGTTGAACGAATCATCAGACCCACACTCCGCACCACCTACGGTGTTTAAACCCAACAACATCTGGATGAGAGCTTAATGTGTCGTAAAAATAATAGGAAAGCTTTGAAGGTTATCTATCACAACGAGGTTAAAAACTACCTTCAAAGCTATTGGAACGTGTACCACCTCAAATATCTGACAATGAATCTGAATTACAGCGGATAGCGCGGATACGGCTTGCTCAACTTCGCTCCGGGTACAGTCCGCTCACTAACTCATACCTAAGCCGTATAATAAGTGAGGTCCAGATAATTCCTGCCCGGACTGTAATGAGACGCCGCACGACGTCCATCAGTTATTTGACTGCACCAAAAACCCGACTGGCCTGACTAATGAAGACCCCTGGCTTCATCCCCTGGAAGTTACTGAGTTTCTCAGACTTTATATCTCTAGGGACCGGGAGAGCTGAACTCCCTTAAGAATCAAATCTCAGTCAAGTAACGACGAAGATGCTGAATTCTAAACAGCACACATCGACAACGACGAAGAACTGACTTCAAAATTAGGATCAGCAATAAACGGTATACATGTATGAGTGGTTACATATAATAAACGGTATTCATGTAACCACTCATGTGGCATACCCCAACTATTCTGCCGGGGGACAAGGGCACTGGGCAGGGACTAGTGGAAACCCAATCAACCTTCATCTCCTACGTACATGAAGTACTGGATAGCAATGGCAACCAAGTAACAAAAACAAAAGAAAGCTCTTCCACAAAATCCCGCAGACGATGGCGTTGGGCGTAGCTAGTACAAAAGCAACAACTTGCGATACAACATTAACAAAAAAAAAGTCTTCCAAAAATTTAAATTTTCGTTTGCCTCGATAGAATTTTTTTCTAACTAAACATGCCAGACATATAAATCAAATTACTTAGCAACGGACATAAACTAACAAAGAATAAAGAGAGCCGACAATCTTTGAGCAGACGCAAGCTGAGCCGAAAATAAAATTTTATTTAAAAAAACTTTAAAGTTTCAACTCCCACCTGAAACTACAGTGAACAACGCTTTCACTTACAAGTACAAAGTTGCTTACAGCACACGCAAACTCCGTGATGTGGTTATCCGTGATATGGCAACAAAACTTGAGCAGACAGACGAAAGTCTGGAAAAAAACTCAATTGCATACATACTGAAAAAAAAACACGGTCCGGCGGGGACTCGAACCCCAGACCTTTGGGTGCAAAGGCAACGACATTATCTTTAGGCCAAGATAAAAGGAACCCGAAATTTGTTAGGTTTCGATAATGAGGAAAAGAATTGTAAAGAGGAGATAATTTTTAAAAATAAAAATAATAAAGAGAAGATGTGTAAGAAAAGCTGTTTAAGGGAAAAGGCTAGTTCACGATTATACAACAATTGCTATCGCAATTGTAAAAATGTGCCGAGAAAACAATTGCCAAAGTCAAGTTATTTTAGTGTTCATATTGTTAGCAGCCGCGGTATAGAGGGCAGCTGATCCAAAAAAATTGTCATAAAATCGAGCTACGCCCCAGTCCCCTACCACAAACGCATGAAACAAATTTCATCCAGTAAACGACGTATTGAGGCGGCAATTTATAAGATACAACAGACGTCGAAACCATTTGAGTCTAACCCTCAGAAAAGAAAAACAGATTGAAAGAGGAAATTATATAAAATCGCATTAAATTTACAAACTACAAGATCACATCATAATGAGAATAAACTTAGCAGAACCCCTTAAAACATAACCAACAAACAGTTGGAAAAGAGTCAATGAACGCAAGTAAACAAAAAGCTGACTTTCAAATTTTAATTTAAAAAGTGCACGGCATTAACGCTCTTTGATTTTCAGCAACACTTAACGATTAATTTTTTTTGATAAAATTAACCTTATTTGAAAAAAAATGATCAAAAAGTGACTTTTTTATATTCCGCTGGGAAATTTGAAAATTAAATTCTACTTTCAAAACTAGAAGTCAATCAAGTTTTTGTGAGCTTTACACTTTTGCCGTTCAATAATGGAGTTAACTTTGACTTAAACAAAGAAAAAAATCAGTAAGAAATCAAAAAGTAAACCGCGAAAAATAAAATTGAACACGAACAAAATTTAAGTATTTTCCTGAAAAAAAAACAAACAACAAATCGCCAAGATCTATATAAGGATATCCAATACAGTCAATGCTTTGGAAATTAAGTCGATAGAAATAAGCAGAAACACCATTGTCCGACAATTAAGAGTTTTAATTTAAAAAATTCGCGCCTAGCCGTAATCGAGCCCACCACCTTTCTAGTCTCAAGCATGAGCGTTACATGTGCAGAAAGTTATTGGATTCGATCTTGAGTTGAAGCCAGTAAAATCTCATGCTCAAATTCTGTTGAAAACACTTTTCACGAGAAATTTAATACCAGGTTACAATAACCTTGCTAATCGCAAGATTCATAACATAGCCATTCGAAGATTGGAAAAGCGTTATGAACACAAGTGAACATAAAAAAAACACTGACTTTGTTGAAAAAAAAATCAACTTTTGCATTTCAAAGAAAAAAATTAGATGCTCTTTAAGCTCTTTGAATTTCAAGAACGATTTACGATTGGCGCTTTTTTGATAACATTAACCCAACTGGAGAAAACTGGATCAACCGGTAAAGTTTTTATTCCACTAGAAATCTAAAAACTAAATTCCATTTTCGGGACTAGAAAACTTGCTCGTTCCTTTTTGGATAGTGCTATTTACGTCACTTTCAGCAGATGAATTTCAATTGAACTCAAAAAGTGCATATATATAACTAAGTGCATCAATATTTAGACTTTACCAAAAGAATGTTAATTGAAAAAATTTGGTTATTTTCAAATTTCGACAAAGAGGCGAAGCTGCGCTTCGCAAACTAATGAGAAAAATACATACACTAGCCACAAATACAGCAGAGAACAGATGCTATGAAATTTGCAATACTGCAGCTCGTAATTATAATAAAACTGCAACCAAATTGACATTTTTTATTTGCGAGTTAGGTTGGAAAAAGTAGGTCCATAGTAATACACTATGCTCGCATGCATGTTCGTAGTGTAAAAAAGAAAGTAAATCAAGCTCAAGCTCTTTAAATTTCAAGATTTTTTTTATCGTAAGCACTTTTTTCTTCAAGATATCTCATTTAGAGAAAACTGGATAAAAGTATCTTTTTTTATTCTGCTGCAAAATCTGCGCCGCCCTGGTCCGTCGCTTCACTTCCAAAACTATAGATCGATCACGTTTTTTATGAAATTTTACACATTTGCTGTGTAATGGTCGCGTTTGCCTTGCTTTTAACAAAAAAATGATCTTGACTTAAAAAGAAATCAGAAAACAAACCGCAAAAAAATCAACTTTGAGCTTGAAAAAATATTTAATCATCACGACCTATATAGGTGACATTATTTTCGTTCTTTTACACTGAGTAACTGGTCCAATCTGAGGATTTTTGTTCCGACCATTGAAACTGGTGAGGAAATTTGCATTCGAGTGTGTTTTAGTTTTGTTTCTTTTTGTTTTCCTCACAAAATGAGTTACCACAAATAATCATCGGACTGGGTTGAGTGATATATCTTATTAAAGCCCTTTCAGTTGTGATTTAAACAACATCAAAAATCCCAAAATTGGGTGACCAGGCTTTACATTAGCTTATTTATGCTTAACTTAAGCCTTGAAAATTTAATTTAACTCAAATAAAATTAGTTTTCGGAGTTTATAGAGCGCCCTATTAGGTTTTAAAAAGATCAAAAAAATTGAGAAGCAAAAATTGAAGAAAAAAAATTTCACCATTTTTTCTGGTAATGTTTTTCTGGTAATGTTTTTCTGGTAATGTTTCAACAAAAACTGTTTTTTCAATTTGCCTGTTTTACTATGACTGTTAAATCTGCCTAAGTTCTAGTTTTTTTGTTCAGATCCTTTTATCACACCACGCAGACAAAACGACACTAATTTGAAAAACAAAATTTTGTATTGTTTTAGATTATGGTCGCAACATTGTGCTACTTGCACAGTAACCAGCAAACCTTGTATTTATTTGCAAAATGATATACCTGCTACACTATTTGCACCGCCCTGGGCCGCCGCTTCTTTATTATGGTCGATCACTTCCTGCAGTTTGTCTCTCTTCACAAAATACGAGTCGCGACCCTCGTCGAAGTTAGTCAGTTCTGTCCAGATCAGATCTTTCCACTCGTTAACTGTCAGATCTTTCTCAGAGATTCCACAGTGTGTGTCTTCTAAGATTGGCGTGTTTATCTAAACCAATAAACAAACATGATCTAAATGAACATGACCAAACTTTTAGCCGTTTTTTTAGGTTGAGTAGCAGAAGTAACAAGTCTAATATAGTTTTTAAAATTGCAGTTTAGAAGGAACAGAAGAATGATTATATTAAAAGAGACAAACCTTGCTACATTCAGTTGGAGCTGCGAAAGATCAGTAATTATTAACTATTTGCCCATTTTTCAATGGGCAATTCGATAGTCATTACAGCAGATTTGAATTTTTGCAACCTAATACCGACGAGGTTTGAAAACCCTCGATAAGGTTAAAACGTAGTCATATATTCTTAATGGATTATCAACTCCGCTTCTCTATTATTGATGATTCACCTCTGAGTCTTCGGCCCATATACGAACGTAGGGATGCCTCAGTGCATCATCCACTGAGATCCTCTTCTCCGGGTCTATCTGGAGCATCTTGGAGAGGAGATCTCTGGCTAGCATGATTGTCTCAGCCCCAGCTGAGGGGTTCTGTGGGTCAGCTTCAGGGAAGAAACTATCGGGAAACAGCTGCAAAACAAACACTCTATTGAAAGTGACATGACAAAAACCAACACAAACACTATCACGATAACTACTGAACCGGCAATATAAACCGAGGCCGGCAAACACTAAAAAACGGCGAAAAACAGGGTAACAATGTACGCCAACATAAAATTCCCATTCATGAGTTATTTTGATCACACTTAAGATTACAACCAAAATCGCGAATATTTGGTTTTTTCAACACTACGGAAATCAATAAAAAAAATTCGAAATGAACTATTTAGATGTGCGAATGTTTATTTACCCTTTCAAATGGCAGCCCCTTGACTGGTGGCTGGGACTCCACATACATGCACACACTAGGCTTCAGTCTACTTCTGAACTCCCTCGGAGGAGTGCCCAACTGCTGGGTTATTTTGTTCCACTGGTCAATGTAGTCCAGACCCATAAACACCACTTCTCCTGAAATAAGAGTCAATTGCATTACTAATGATAAGAACTAGTTCTTATACCAACTGCTGATTTAAAACGACCGATTCAAACCGAAAACAACAGCATCGATTTACCAACCAATTCACTAATCATATGATTGCACTTCCGTGGGGAAACACTTCTCAGGCGCACGTCATTCGTTCTGGCTGGCAATCAATTACCTTTAAGCATTTCACCGAAGATGCAGCCTACAGACCAGACGTCCACGTTTTGATAGTATCCCATGCCTAAGATCACTTCTGGAGCACGGTAGTACCTGAAACAAACTTTGTCTTCATGTCATTTTACGCCAAATAGGGATATAAAAAGTACTCTGGTCACAAAAACAAGTGAGTAGCCGATTTCTTGTAGTAGAAAGATGTTACACATATGCATAGCGGAGCTTCCCACCACTTGCGATACAACACAAACATAGAGGGCAAGCTAGTCGACACAAAAATGATAAGAAATCAAATATGTCTAGAACAAAATTGGAAATTATATACGTTTATCCACAGAATACAGGTGGAAAAGGGTCAAAAAACGCAAGTAACCAGACAAAATCTGACTTGCTTCTTGAATGAATCGCAACGTTCGAATTTCAAAGAAAAAGAAGATGCTCTTAAAGCATTTTGAATTTCAAGAACAATTTATGATTGTCAGTATTCAAGATATTGATGCAAAAATTCAAGAAATATTCGGTTCTACACAAAGACGAGGCAAGTCTTCGCACCACGTGTGATACTAAACAAAGATAATATTGCAAGCTAGCAGACAGAAAACAAAATGAAAACCACTAAGTAAATAGACATGAAAAAATGCCAAAATAACCATACCTGCAATAATGTCTGTTTTTTTATCCAATATGTTCAATTTGAGGAAACACGCCCAGTAAACAGCCATTGAGCCAAAAACAAAAAACGTTGACCTGTAATGTTCTGAAATTCTAAGCTTTAACGCACTTTCTCGCCAGCTTTCAAAAGGCGCAAAATTAGGTCACTAAGCAGATGAAACATGCGCAGAAACAATTTAGGCCGAATAAAGCTTTACGGCAAAAAGAAAACTATGCAACGTCAGAGTTGGTAATATATCAATAACAGAAGTGAGTGGAAAAAAGCTTTCAGCTAAAATAAAAAATGCTTGTTGCACAATAAAGTTTGGGAAAAAAGGAACAAGGCGACAAAACATAACCAGACTAACAAAACCCAAGCCTTTTGTATTTCCATATTCAGACCAAGTGTGCTGCAGAATCCTAACAATTTGAAATATTTATCAATCAAGCTTTCAAATGATTCAAGCTTTCAAATTTTGTTTAACTACTTGTTTATCCAAAAAAGCCTATATTCCCGTGTGGACCACCTATGTCAGAAAAGCTAGTAAAACAATATCATATTTGGAGCCTGTGAAAAAATTCTAGCCATACAACTCTCATGGCTAGATTTTTTGGAGAAACATGCAAAAGTATATATTTTTTTTATCTATAACGTAGGCCAGTTGATCAAAAATATCAAAAAACTCATATATCCAGGTGTGCTCATGTATTCAGCAAAGATAAAATTTTTAAAACGCGATTGTTACTATACACTTCGGCTAGTAAAGATTTAAGCAACTTATAACGACGAAATCTCTTTATTTAACTCCTTGCGCCTGATGTAAAAAAAATCAGATAAATTTCTCAAAACTTTTTCAGATTTAGATGAAAATCCTAATTATGTTTTATTTAAATGAGATTTTAAATTTCGTTCTTACCTATGGATATCAATTATCTAGTATTTCTGTGTTTGGATGTTCAAACAATGAAACGGCTATTAGACAGTTTAAAAAAAAACTGAAAAAATTGATCGGAGAATTTTTGAGCATACTTCTACTTCAGAAGAAAAAATCACAATAAAGCTTTTAGAACTTCAAATACTGTTTTTCGTAAAGAATCTTATTTAGTAACAAGTAGATCAATACATTGATTTTCATTCCACTTGTGTTCAGATAAGCGAAATCTATTTTAGAAACTAGAATTCAGTTACCTTTTTCGTGACCTTTCCAATTTTGCTTTTCGATAATTGTAAGAAATAAATTTGAGGGCGAACGAATTTTAGGAACTAAATCTGTCAACAAAGTTCTTTTCCGTAACTACCAAGAAGCAATACACTTGCTATTGCAAGTGTACAACACAGAGGCTAAGCTTAGCTTCGCAAACACAGGCGAGAACACGACAAAAAAGCAGCTCTATAAAGTGCAATACGAAAAGTAGAAATAAGCCTCGAATGAGCAAAAAATTAAGCTATGTCTGAGATTCAAATCTGCGACCTACAGATTAAGCGTCTCACACATTAATCACTTAGCCAGAGAAGCCTAGTAGTTAATGGCCAAACACTAGTCACAAATGAAGCAGAGAACAGATGCTATGCAATTTCCAATGCTACCGTGTTTATTAGTGTAAATAGTGGAGTCAACTGACCATTTATCTCATTCGAAAACGCAAAAATCTGATTTTTTTTCCGAAGAAATAAATCTACTCGAATATTGAATCATATTGTGCAAACCAGGCTGTCAATATGAAACATCATTCAGCATCTAATTCGAAAATCAATAACCTAATTTTTAAGAGCTAAGAGCACAGACAGACAAACAACATTCGTGGTTATGACACATAAAACAAATTCGGGAGCTAACCGATAAGCAAAATTTCATTTCGTTCATGACCTCTGTTGTTTAAGAGAAAGCGAAAATTTTGCTTACCTATCCTATCCGTCCACACATAAGTTATTTTGTGAGCTGTTATTTGTTACACAGGCGAAGCTACACGTTGCAAACCACACGAGAAGACGGTAAAAAGTAGCTCTAAAAATCACAAGTAAAGAAATGCCTTAAAAATCTTTTGCTATTTGCCGAATTCGAATTTCTGACCGCGAGAGTAGGAGACCACGATCACTTAAAAAATTTACCAACACTAGCTACAACTAAAGTTACCATTACATTGCCAATGCTAGTCAGCAAAAGTACCACCACATAAAATTAAAACTAATTTAATGTCTCAGAACTGAACCTCCGACCTGTAGACTAGCTCGCGTCCTCGCACCTGCGCCACGGTCACTTGAAAACAAACAAGATGCCCCAATTAAAGCTGAAGGGATATAATTCATAGTTTTAAAGAAAATTTACAGATGCGAAAGTTAATGCGTAATTTTTGAACGAAGCTCAAAAAATGGGACAATCGGTCAAATATTTCATTAAACCATAGCGGTCCAACATTGCTTTTTTGCAAAAACTAAGCCGTAGCCGTTATGTAGAGAAAGCTCCTAGCTCAAAATCTTTTGATGAAACCCATAACTTTAGATTTAGACAGCTTTGTTTTTAGAAAAAGAAAAGAGTTTTCTTAAGCTGTCAAGTTTCAAATATTTATTATTCTTTAGGGCCAATTTTCTTGATTTTTAAACAAAAACAAGGGCGTACAGTTTAAGAGGCTCCCATAAAAAGTTCCTTTAATTCAGCTGTTAGTCTCATATTTGGCAAAGAAACTTTTGAGAAAATGAAAAAACAATAAAAAAAATGGTCAAAAATTCCCCATTGAGTTTTTCGCAGGCCGTGGGTAAGGTTTAAAGAGTTTAGATGAATATGCGGTACAAAAAAAAGCGTCTGTTTTTCAACCACTTTTTCGTAAATTAAGCTGCCACAAAAAGAAGCAAATTCGGTTCTGCTTAAAGCTGCGAGAGATCGACAAAATAAATCACCAGCTTGGTACTTTCACGGCCAAATATACCTTTCTTTTTCACTAACATGAACCCAACTAGAGAAAACTGGATCAATAGGTAAACTTTTTATTTCGCTGGAAATCTAAAAATTAAATTCACTTTAGAAATCGTTCACTTTGTTAAATTCACAAACTAGAAATCGTTCGTTTTTTCGCGCCATTTTTACGTTCGTATTTGGAGAATGCTTTTTACGTCACTTTCGGCACCTGAATTTCAATTGAACTCAAAAAATGCATTTATATCTAAGAGCAATCATAAATGCATCAATATGTATGAATGCATATCTGTAGTTATTAGAGACTTTTCCTGAGAAAAAAAAATCAGCAAGACCTATATAAGAGTCTTCACTACGTTCATTACTCTTGAAAATGAACTGTCGTATAAAACATGACATAGGGAAATATTATCTAGCGAAGGCTTGACAAAAAAATTATTTCAGATACATGCACACAAATCAATACAAACACAACCACATATTGTTAGGAGTGAACAAAAAGCGTATATTATCATTATGCAAATGCTCACCTGGTAACTACATAAGGCGTCATCGTGAACGACTCGCCAGCTGTCCTGGCCAGACCGAAATCAAGAATCTTCAATGTGCAGTCAGACCTAACACCAACATTACTAGGTTTCAAGTCCCGGTGGATTACACCGGTTTTGTGCATGTGCTTCACTCCACACAGCATCTGGTACAGTAAGTAAGATTGCCTTTCGTGATCTAGACGCATGTTCACTACTTGAGTGAATATTCCGTCCATCTTTTCCATTACGATGTAAATTTCATTCAGCTCATCTTTTGAAACATCAGAGCCGAACACGTTCAATAGGCCGATGATGTTCTTATGGCAGATTTTTCGCATGAGAAACAATTCCCTGAAATTTGAAAACCCATTATGCTGAGAATTCAAACACATATGCTATGTACAATTTTTCAAAGTTATAATAATTGAAAAAAGAGACTTCAAATTAATGCGACTTCAAATTTTCATTGAATCAGCAATAGTTCATTGTTTCGAAACTCAAACCTTAACTCTCGATGGCGGAGAAAGCACTCTGATTTGATGTTACATATCCTTGGAACTATTAAACATGATTATCATAACAAGTTGGCTAAATTCAGGGCTAGCCTAATGGTTGCATGTTTTCAATTGGAGGAATTGAGTATTCAATTAAAATTTTTTCTTTGAATTTTGTTGATGATTTTTAAAAAGCCACATGGTTTGGAAATTTATTCTTCTTCGAAGTTATGTAACTGGTCCACATGATGAAGGACTCTTGAGATTAGTGCTGTAACCTTGATAAATTGCAACTTATGATTACCATTAGACCGCTAAACGGAGCAGGACCATCTTCAAGCAGGCTCACACGTTCGGGTTTTTCTCCTCTGCAACTTAGTAGATCCAAAAAATATATATACAAGGAAGATAAACCCACTTGAATAATAACTCCTATGCTGGCGTTTTCACGGGTGGTGAGATAAAGGACCCAAAACTCTGACAAGACATGAAGTACGCTTCCACAATCGATCAATATTTTGAAACTCTCGTGATCAAACTCAGGGCTGTTGGTGTAGAGACATAATGTTGTTCTTAGTAGGTGCTCACAAGCATCGGTTCGACTGCAGCCCCAACTCGTTTTTGTCGATGATTTTTCAGTTCTCCACAATTGTAATTGTGGAGATAGATTAGTTGCCCCTATTCCAGTCCTGGGTAAACTCCCGTTCTAATGGAGCAGTTTTTCATACAGAGAACCGAGCAAACCTCCTGTGCCCGATTCTCGCGGGCAGTTTTTAATTAGCGCGGAGAACTGACAAAAACTCTTAATGTGAATTGGTTTTTGTTTCTGGGGGAACCTACAAAACCCCTCTTGTCCAGATGTAATTATCAAACCCAATTAGCGACTTGGACAGGTTGGTCCCACAGGTCATTATGAGGATCATAAAAACAATTACGACAGTTGTTATTGTTGTCTTTATCGATTCTGGTTAAGTAGCTGTTGAGATGAGTGCTATATCCGCAGCGCAGTTGAGCAAGAAGGCATCTAATACGACGAGGAATGCGACTTTCTACTTGTGCTACATGGAGATTCGTTGAACCTATCATTTTTGCAGGGCCACTCTTTATACAGTTATTAACTTCCTTTAGGTGAAGTTTTTTCGAAGCAAGCTTGTAATCTGATGGTCAGATAGATATATCTTCGTTAAGGAGGTGTTTTTTTCATCAAGGTATTTTTCAGCCAGACTCCGTTTAAACTTTCTGGATTATAGTTTAGGTGTGTAGTTTGATAGTCAACTCTATGGTTGGTGAGCTCCGACTAAGAAATATTTACACATCACTTCATTGTGTTTTGAATGGCAAGATTTCGGTTTTGCAATAAGATGCTTACTGGAGCTCATTTTAGGGCAGATAGTTGCAACTCTTAGAGCATTACTTTAATAAAACTGGATGTCATTCATCTGGTATTGCTAAGCGATGGCGACCAGAGTGGATTAGCATAATTGAGAAAACTACGCCCAATGGCTTTATAAGTAACTTAGTGTTTCTTTACTGCAAACCCAATTAGTACCAAAAACTGTTTCAGAAAATTATTCCTCGTTTTTAGTTTGTTCGTGATCTTACTGATGTGGTGCATAAAAGACAAAGGATTAACAAAAGATACGCCCAGGATTTGTTGCTTGTTGGTAAAACATTCTGATTCATGGCGACATTAGTTTTGTGTTTGGCCTCTCTGGTCCAAGTCGTGAGGAGAGTTGCTGTAGATTTGCCAGATGAGAGTTAATGATTTTGATTTTCCAACTAGTTGTGCAGATCTTTTAAATATGGTTAGACTGGTTTTTCCAACTTCTAGCCATCAGGACCTGTGGTAGAAATGGTGATGTCATCAGCATAGGTGGTAATTTTGATGTTGTTTGCTGATGGGAGAGGTATAGAGGACAAAGATACTAAACAGGACAGGCAACAATACTCCTCCTTGAAGAACCCCATGTTTCATTCGTCAAATTTGTGATCTTTTTGTCTCTAAAATTGACATTAGTAGCGCCCTTGTAAAGATGTTATGGTCCATCTTTTAGTATATGTAAAACAAATTAAATGTCTTAAAGCAAAAATACCGTGATCATATGTCAAAAGCAGCGGTGAGATCATGAGCAAACAATAGGGTTCTGTGAGGCAATCTCGGTTGGTTAAGACCATTTTTAGAATCAGTAACAATACAGTTAAATTCAGTGTTCGTGGATCTATTTTTCCTAAAGCCATGTTGATGGTCGACATGGCTATATTGGAAGATTGATGTTATTTAACCATCTAATGAAATTCTTTCAATCAGCTTAGTAACTGGAGACACGAGTGCAATCGGCCTGTTACTTTTTGCCTCCTCTTTTGTTTTTCCCGGTTTAAGGAGTAGAGGTATTTTTCCAATTCTGCGGTATGATTGATGAATTTCGTAGACATGATCATAAGGCTCTATCAGGAAATATTCTTTTGTTCATTGGCAATTTATTTGCAACGACACAATGAATAACTCGTTATCAGCACACAAAAGCAACGGTTTAACAATTTTCTCAGGTGAAGAGCTTGGTGACGCACTTCCACAGAATCCTATCGATAATTTGTCCCAGTGATTGACATCATCAAACATATAATATCAAAACGAAAAGAAAGCGATCCTCGAGTTCCGAAGGGATACTTGGAGCCAAATCAGGCACCCCTGACTGAGCTCAAGACATTCTACACAGTACTGAAACAACGTGGTTGTACAATCCGTATTATGTGGGGAACAAACCCAAAAAAGGATATTGAACATAAAGAAAAAGGCACTTGCGAACTCAGGTACTGTTTTACCTCGGTTAGTCCTTGCTTTCATTTGTTCGATGAGAGGCACAGCAAGTGACATTGTTCAAATACTTTTGTACCGGTTGTATTTTTTTATTGCTAAAGGACGAGCAAACGCAAAAGCAGGCTTCCATCAGCTCTTCGTTTAGCATTCACTTTTGAACTCCTTTGACGAATAACGCTTTTAAATGCTTTTTACACGCATCGTACAATATAATTTAGATTAAACCTATACGATCATTTTAGTCGAATGGCACGTGGTCAAAACTGTCGTAATAACTGGACAGAGTTTTGAGGTATGAATAAGGTAGAAAAGGACAAACATTTGAGGTAAGAATGAAGTAGAAAAGCACTATAGATAGTGTCTCTGGCCCTCGAGACAACGGCTATAGAGCCTATGCTTCTTCTCAAAGGTTATTTAAATGATTTGCTGCTACATATCCTTGGAACTACTGAATATGATTATCATAACAAGTTGGCTAAATTCAGTGTTAGCCTAATTGTTACATAAGTTCCATGTTTCCATTTGGAGGAAGTGAGTATTCAATTGAAGTTCTATTCTTTGAATTTAGTTGATTATTTATAAAAAGCCACAAAATCACGTTCGGAATTTAGAATTTTAACCTTCTTCGAAGTTTTGTAACTGGTCCACATGATGAAGGACTCTTGAGATTAAAGCTGTAACCTTGATAATTTACAACTTCAGATTGCCATTAGTAAAAAGAAAAGTTTTCGCGATTGTATTTCGGCTACTATAGTTTGAATAAACTAAACAGAGAATAAACTCTCTCAGAACATTTGTTCTTTAATAGGTGATTGGTGTTGGAGAATTGAAGGAAACTAAAAAACCTATTCCGGTCCGCAATGCTGTTGGGAGATGAGCAACAGCGATGACGATTCTTTCTTTTATTAGCCAAAAGGTAGCTTTTCGTCAAAACTGTGCGTCGAGACCGCTAAACGGAGCATGCTCACATGTTCGGACTTTTATCCTCTGCGATTTATGAGACCCAAAAGAAAAGGTATACAAGGAAGATACCCCGACTTCATTAATAATTCCTATACTGGCGTTTTCACGGGTGGTGAGAGAAACAAACGAAAGTTCTATCAAAGATAGAAGTACACTCCCGCAAGCAATGATGACTTCAAATTTTCATTGAATCGATCATTATTTTGAAACTTTCGTGGTCAACCTAAGTGCTGTTGGTGAACGAAGTACTCTAATGCGGAGAGACATTGTCGCGCTGGACGCTAACATGGAATACTTAAATGTTCATTGCCCATTCATTTGGCACGACACAATGAAAACTCGTTGTCACAACACACGGGCAACAGCTTCACATAACTCACAGATCGAGCGCATGCTGACGCCATCAAGCTGTAATAACCCAGAATCTTGTCCGTTAATTACCTTCATAGGACGAATAATCTTACCACCCCCAGCATTTTCGAAGAGCTTTCAATGGTCAACCCACTGGTTGCCATCATCAGACATATCAAAACGAAAGGAAGGCAATGCTCGTGTTCGGAAGGGATACTTGGAGTTAAATCAGACTCCTATGACTAAGCTTAAGACATTCTACACAGTACTGAAGCAACGTGGTTTTGCAAAACGAATGATTGGAAAAAAAAAAGAAAAATAAACCCAACAAAAAGAGATTGAACTTGAAGAAAGCCGGAGAGGACTTGACTAACGCCGGCGACATCGTGTTCGACAAGAAGTAATGGAAAGCGTTTCTGCAGCAACGGCAAAAACACCTGCTTGAAAGGGGCGAAACACTGTCGGTACGCGGTCGGGAGCAGGAGGTGGTAAGCAGGCGGCAAGAGATAAAAGACGACGACCTGACATGCAGGGCAGACGGTTGTGGCCAAGTATGCAAGAGCAAATCGTGTAGGGCAACATACGAACGACGGGGTCACCGCCCGGCGGGGAAGAGCTTCGTATGCCCAGGATGTCCGAAGGGCTTTCGAGAAAAGTGCCATTTGACAAACTACTTCAAGGCTGTAGAAGTAGAAACCAGGACGACAACAGCATTACCACAAATCGCTTCACGGGCTTAAGGTCAGTTGCCCGGGATTTTGAACACAGATAACGAAGAACAATTCAGCCAGACACATGACCAGAAAAAGGTGTCAAGCTCCCAATCTCCGAACCCAAGGCCCCAGGGCGTAAATGGGAACAAGACAAGACAAAAAAGGCACTTGGAAAATCAGGTACTTTTCCCCCTTCTTTAGTCCTTGCTATCATTTAGTCGATTGAACGGTACAGCCAGTGACATTGTTCAAGTACTTTTTGTTACGGTTGTGTGTTTAGATTGCTAAATGATAAGCAAACACAAAACCAGACATCAATCAGCCTCTGAATCTGAACATATATGCTCATCTTGCAGCGCAGATTTTTTCTTTAGCCTTCTTTTTCTTTCCTTTGACGAATGACGCTTTTAAACGCTCGCACGCTATAATTCCGAGTAAACCCTCGAGCATTTTAGTCGAACGGTACAATGTCAAAACTGCCGTAATAACCTTTTTCAAACAGGACTCATCTGACATCAAGAAAATGGAATTCCTTGCCCATTAAATTACGAAAATTAGACATTACCACATCAACGTTCAAGAAAAATTAGAAGTTCTACACTACTGAAATGCAATCTAATTTTATATGTACGCATACAAATACATGGCGTGAATTTCATTTTCATTTGTATATTTGCAAATTTATGTTCAGTTTTAATGGTTACATGTCAGTATTTAGACAACCTCGTATTCAGACTGGTCAGTATTTAGACAAATGCTGTTTCAACCAATCAGAATCGAGACAAAGAATAAATTAATAAATAATTATTATTTATTTTGGATTATTTATGCTTTTTCTCGATTCTGATTGGTTCATACAGTATTTGTCTAAATACTGACCAGTATGAATACGCGGCTGTCTAAATACTGGCTGCACTCCAGTTTTAATTGTTTTCCAAGATTTAACATTGCTTACAATTTTTAAGGGTGAACATTATTGTGTTAAGTTTCAATTTTTACATTTAACTTGATAAATTCGTCCCGTTTTATTTTACGATTTAACCCATTTTAAGCAAACTAATATGAGTAACTAATCTGACTATATACCTAATATATACATATGTACCTATTACTACCCATATGTACCCATTACTGTACTAATGCAACTGCTATTGTGTGAAGTAATTTAAGCATTTTCATTCTTCTTCATTTATTTCGGAAATTTAAGCCGTTTCCAAAAAAATGTTGAAACTGCACTTTGTTCACCTGTAAGCACGCTTGGCGTGTGTTGCGTTCTGGAAAGGCCTATAAAGCTTTTTAATTGCTACTGGTTGGTTTCTCACGGTGTCCACGGCTGCACATACACATCCTTGAGCTCCCGTTGAGATGAGTGAGAGATCACTATACCTAAAATACAACACAACGCTAAATCTAATTAATTGCACAAACCAGAGACCATTGTTAACATTGTTATGAAGCTGACTCTCTTTGTTTTTTTTTCTTGGTTTTTCTTGTTTCTTTTTATGAATATTAAAGTATTCTACCTTTTTAGCACTCTGAACAAAATTCTATCTCCATTGTTTACTGTAATAGTCACTGAGTGATACTCTGAAGGAGGATAACGTGCTGCACTCATTTTTGTCTAACCATACAAGCCTGGAAAATAACTGAAACTAAGACATAATTAGCTGTTGCAAAAAAAGGCTCCCTTTTATAATCATTTATCGGATCAAAGGAAAATTCCGGTTCAAAGGAAGACAAACTTAGCCTATATGTAGTGATAAACTTATTTAAAAGATGTTTTATGTTTGTGCCTGTTTGTCGGGCGCCCTTTAAGGGGTTTTAGAGACAGGTATTTCAAGTAGGTCCCTGGCCTGGAGTAAGGAGTTCCTGGCCCAGGGAGTTTCGTGGTGCGCCGCTGGACCTTCTGAGCTCGGGTGAGATTGTTCCTTAACTGCGAGTTTTATAGCTTTTGTATTTTTCTTCAAACAAACTTAGCGAAAACAGTATCAAAATCAGTCCTCCTAATTTTTCCAACTTTTTTGAATGAAGGTATATTCCCAGAAACGTGGAAGTTAAGTGAAGTTGTCCCAATCTTCAAAAATGGGAACAAATGCGATATTAAAAGATTCAGATCGATAAGTTTACTACGCTGCATCTCAAAATTTTCGAAGGTTTTATTTCACTACATTTATGAAAGAGTGCGACATTATCTCAATATGGTTTTCGTAAGAAACGTTCAGCAATTACCCAATTCCTTGCTTACTTACATCAAGTATACCTAAATTATGATGACCAAACAAGCAAAAATATAACAGCGCTCTATCTAGATTTTGAAAAAGCTTTTGACTGCGTTCCGCATCAACTTTTAATGCATAAATTGAAGTGTTATGGTTTTGGAGGAAAAGCAACTCAACTAATAGCCTCTTACTTGTTTCGTCGAATGTAACATTCGCCCGGAAGATACATATCGACGGAAAACAAAACTAAGTCTTAAGACGACTGGCTAACGTCTAAACAGAGCTTTGCATGCTTTTCACCGTCTCTACCAAGCCAGTACTTTTCGGTGGTCTTTTCTAACATCGGGTCGACAAAAACGTTACTGCTTTCGGCTTCGGTCAAAACACTCAATTTAACTAGATTACAGGCAGAAATAGTGAGCTCATGGCTGGGTCTCAGTATCCCCAGACCACGAGTTCACTCCTAAAAACAGGGCTACTACTTATTATATTACTATTGTTTTTGTTCAGTAGATAAAAATCATCATCTCCATCGAAGATGGATCAACCCTTTCCCCCAACTCCTAGCTTCTCATCCTCATCAAAATGAATCCAGATATTAATTAAATTCAAGTCAGGACATGACAGGAAGCTAAAAGTTTATGCAACAGGATAAAAGTTACAGTTCCTTTACCCTTCCGGATTGATGAATCCGCTGGATCAAGCTCGCTAATCCTGATTTTCTCTTAATCCGGAAGGCCGTCTCTCACCCTTCACCGTTGTTCGCAACGGCCTTGCAACTATTGTAGCAGCACAATAGTTGCAACTCGGAGTGTTCTTCTGTTACTCTGTAACTCGTTGTTGTCTTCCGATCTCAATTTCATTGTTGTTGCTAGCGCAGCTAATGTTGTTCTGTTTTTCTTTCTCGTTTTAGTCAGAATAGCCGTTTCTGACATTTCTCAGAAATATGACGTCATAATTCGAATTTTTGAAATTTTAAAATACCAGAATATTCTAGCCCTCACTGTTTGGCCAATCGTTCCAATAACGTTCTTAATTCTTAATAATCATCAATCCGGAAGGCTTACTGCTAAAAATTCGAAGTCTGCGTAAATTGCATTTTGGCCATTCTGGTCGAATGTCACATACTCCCCGGACAGTCCCGTCAATGTCCTCATTGAATCGCACAATGTTCGTAAAATGGTTACAGTGTCATCGAACAGAATTTATAAAATGCACGAAATTACTTTTATCCTCGTCACATCGACTCACTGCAGAACATAAATGGCATCATACTACATCACTATAGCCTTCAAATTCTTTCATTAATCTGCACATTGAGGATATAACCTAAGATAAAACATATTTTCTGACTCCCAGTGTCAATGTCCCGATTAAAACTTTTTCTCTTTGATTTAAAAGGTGTTGGCTTGCAGGACAGTCCTGCCAACCAACAAGCTAAAATTATCCTACTACGCTTTTCCCTTCGGAAATCTTGCTTGTTTATTGTCCTGAATTTTAAAACTAAGAAACTTTGTGGTTAGAAAGAACAATGAAACAATCTCCCTCTTCGAGAGATTACTCAAGCCTTCCATGTCACCACAAAGTGATCAGTCTTCCTAAGTGATTAAAAACAATCATGCAGGCTGGAATATTTAAATATACTCTCCTCTTAAGCCTTTCTAAATAAATAATAAGTGTCTCTAAAGCCACTTCAACTAAAATCAAAATGCAAATTTATAAATGCAACAATTTCAAAACTCAACTAAATGTTTCAGTTTTCAATTACAACTTGGTTGCTTGGTTTCTCACTTGAGTTTTTCACACACATAAAACAATTCTGAGTTTTAACTTTTCTTCATCACTCCTTTGTTCTCTTCTTTTTTCGTCGTTTAGAAGTTCTAAAACTTCTAAATTCTTCTAATTTTCTTTCTTGTTGCCTCTTGTTTTCTCGATCATTCATCAATGTTCCATTTCTTCCTCCTGTGATACTGACTCCGCACTTTCGGTTTTCGTGTCTTGTAGCACATCGTTGGCTATCCTGACGCTGTTGGAAGCCGTCCTCCAACACTTCTGCTCTTCTACCCTCTGTTTACAGCAAGGTAGGGGATCCACGTTGGATTCTCTGTTCCTGCAGAAGCTGTTGTGGAGACACAACGTCACGTTTCTCTCCAAATCTTCTTTCAGCATCTCTGCCTTCTCATTTCCACTACGCTTACTCGTCCTGGAAATTCTTTTCACAGCGGTGGTCACTGCATTCCAATGAGTCACGAAAGCTCGCTTGAAAGCTCCTGCCCCAATGTCCAGCTGATATTCACTGTACACTCTGCCATGCTTCGACATATGCTTTTTCGCATACTCGTACAACCATGCAGTCATGTTAGCTCTGAACCATGGCATCAATCGTTTTCTCGCCCATATCTTCTTCACTTCCATCGGAATGTTTAGAACTTTGCACATTGTCTCAAAAAGATCTAAATCTTTTAGACAATCTAATTTCCGCAATTGTTCTCTCGTTGGTGCCTCCTGTCTATTATTTTCTCTCACATGAGCTTCCAGCCATCGTATCGCCATCATAACTCCCACTATCACTATTGTTACGGGCTGTGATGAATCTGGTAAACCCATGGAGAGCAGCTCTCCAGAGTCCCAGATCAACATCAGATTACTACGCTTGGGATACCACCAGGTCTGCAGCAAGCAGTGGCAAGGAAACTTGTCATGTGTCAACATGATGCTCCTCCAATTACGTCTTCCCGAAGCTTCCAGCAATGGTTCCACTTCCATCATCACTCGGTGGATTTCATCATTCTCATCTACTGCATTGTAATCTGTGACAGTTGATCCTCTCTGTTTCTGTTTCTCAAAGTCACTGAAGTTCCCGCTCACATATCCCATGAACTTCTTTCCTAGTATTGACTCCAATTCTTCTTTGGTTCTCTCTGGGACTGCTGAGAACATCTTACATAGTAACTCGTAAGACTTTTCAGACATTCTCGCCAACCTCACACACTTCGGCACTGAGAAGGCTTGATCCACAATCGTTCTTGTACTCTTCACGTCCACAGCTACGAAATGTACAGGATATCTGCTCTTGCGCATTGGAGCCAACGTTGAACCCACCAAATATCGTGCTCCTGATGGTCTACAATAAGTTTCGCTGTGTCTGATGTTCATTTCTGTCTCAATTGCTTCCCTCCATTTCCCTATGTATTTCTGTTCAGTCTGCAGAACTCCTGGGAATACTTCTACGCTGATGGCTGTGACCATCTCATGTTTCTGTTCTAGATTCAATAGTGACTCTAAAGAACCAAACATGCTGTAGAATCCTAGTGCAGTCACTAGATTCACATCGGTTCCTCCATGGCAATCTGCTATCAGTTCCGTTTCTGTTCTTGCTTTCATCACTACGTTTCCAAACAATACTGTCAATTGCTTGTGTTGTTTCTCCAGGGTTTTCACACAGTCCAGACCTCCACAAACGTGACCCTCCAGTCCACAGACTTCCGCCAGACAGCTACCAGGTTTGACCCAGTCTTCCGGTCCCCAGCCAGGCAACTCTACTTTATCTTCTCCGTTGCTCTTAGAGGCTGTTATCATCACATTATATATGATGTTGAGGTCACGCAGGTTACAGTCTGCATTCAGTTCCCTCTGTGTGTCCTATGTCGCCCGTAATATTGAGTCAGCGTTGGGACTAGGACACCATGATGGCCTCATCAATTCCCACACTGCCATCAAGCTCGTTCTCAGTAATTCATCTGAGAATCCCAACCCAAACTCCACTCTCTTGTCGGATTTTGGTACTGAAGGTGCAGTCACCTCTTCTTCCAAGACCAGTCCCAATTTGGCCTGTGTATTGTTAACGCTCTTAATCGTTACAATTCTGGACGTCCAGAATCTTAGTAACACCGCCTGCTCATAATCAAAGAAGCAATCGCGTATGTCTTCACTCAGGAAAGGATTGTACGCTATCCCTATGATCCCGGATACGTAGTTATATGACTTCTTCTTGATCGGTCCACAGTATTCACTGGATTTCGGAAATGCTCCCATAGATTCTTTAGTGAGTCTCAACTCCTTGTTTGAGAATCTCCTGATCTCGTCTATCTTTTTCATGGGTTCCAACTTCTCAGGTTCTTTCATGTTCACCCTCATCGGTTTACTTTGCTGCATATCCAGCAAAGCTAGCAAGAATAAGGCTTTCGTTCGCTCATCGCCTTCCCTCAACATTTTAACACAAGTGTTTAATGCAGGTACTGAAATCTGCTCTATCAGGAATCGAATGAAACAGAGAGCGTCTCTCCGCTTCGCACACGCTACTGCTGCTCCCTCCTGGACTATCAGATCCCTCAGATTCGTCATAAGGAAAACCTTTTCATCTTTTGATCTCTTTCTTTCTTCTGAATCATATTCTTCGCGAGTCAGTCCCATCATGCACCAGGCGAACCTGAGTTGTAACTCTGTCC